GAGGATGATCCTGAGGTGTTTTTAACCACATTTGACTGCTGAAAGGGAAAAGTGGGCTGGACTGATGGCCCCATTATTAGCTGGTGAGTCGCAGAAAGCTTATTATGACCTGGAGCCTAGACCAAGCAAAAGACTCTGGTGTGGTGAAAGCAGAAATATTGGCACGATTGGGTGTTCCCTTCACTGTCTGGGCTCAGCATGTGCATAATTGGACTTTTCTGCTTGGGAAACCCCCCCAGGTCGCAGATCTATGATCTCATTCACCTGAGCAGGAAATGGCTGCAGCAAGTGAGTTTGACCGCACCAAAAGTTGTGGATAGGGATCGGTTCCTGAGATCTCTTCCTAATGCCATTCAAAGGTGGGTCAGCCATGGAGACCCAGAGACAGCAGACAAGCTTATGGATCTGGTTGAGAGGTACTTGGCTATGGAGAACCTGACCTCCTCTTCCAGAGACTCACTGACTTTCCACCCTAAGACCAGACCATCCCCAGCGACAGGTAAGATGATACCAAGGGGTGAGGGTGGGAGTATTACCCAATGTCTGGTGAGAGCAGCCGAGAAGATCAAGGCTGCAAGAGGCAGCGAAAAAGGTTATATGCTACCATTGCTGGCAAGAGGGACATATTGCAGCCAATTGCCCAGTTGTGGATAAGCCAATGCAATTAGACTTTCTAAGGGACAGACGTCAGTCATTGTTTGCAACAACAGTCGCATGCACTGCCAGCCGGGGAACCAAGAAACATTTATGTAAAATGTATATCAATGGGAGTAATGTTGTGTTGCTGGATTCAGGTAGCCTGGTAACATTGATAAGAGGAGTTAGTCACTACAGAGGTCTCTGGGCATAAAAAGGTGGCTGTTATTTGTGTGCATGGGGACACCAGCGAGTATCCCATGGCAACCTTGTCTTTTGGGACCCCCAAAGGTAACCTGTCTCATCAGGTAGGGTTTGTGCCTCACTTACCACATAATGCCATTGTGGGGAGGGATTTTCCAAAATTCTGGGAACTCTGGGATTGTTCTGACCCCCCCCCCCCCCCTCTCACTTCCTCCCTTTCAGACCAGGAAGGTGAATCCCAGGAATCATCTGAGTGTGGCGAGGACTCTCCTGAGTTTCCAAAATTATAACAAAATTGGTGCTGCACTTCCACACTTATATTTATATAAATAATTCAATCAAAAATGAGGTTTCAATTACACCCCTAGTGAATCCTCCTGTGTGTAATTATCCCAAACTCAATTCTTCATATTAATATACAAGCTTATACAGTGATGTTTGATAAACCATATAAAACAAAATATAAATGTGCAAAACGCATAAAAACACAATACATGAACCCACTTGTGTCCCTAAACAGGGTGAAATCACAAACATGTATTAAACTACACGTGATATAACATTTGGCATAAAAGAATGCCCAAAGGTGAAGTGGAAATAGACTGACAAATGGCACTATTGTGCCTATAAAAAAACAATAGGATGGTCAGGATAAATTAACCCTGACTATAAGACAAATCTACAAGGACTATAACAAATCCTTCAACATAAATGTGCAACCACTACTCAACAAGTGCCCACATGTATCAAAGTATAAATTGCCGTGCTCTAGTCCCTAAACTTGGGACTATACTGCTATATAAATAGAGGGGAAAACATTTTTTTAAATAAATAAAAATAATTAAATAAAATATTGGGTGAATCCACAAATGAAAATCCAGTGACACTCTATGATAAACACATAACTTAAATTTATAACAAAGTCCACAAAAACACGTGCCACCAATTATTAATAAACAAAAAACAAATCGTCCATGTGTGTAATCTTCAATATGGCTGGACATATAGAAACCTCTAGCGATCAATATAAATCTGGTAGGTGAACAAAAAGTGTAATCCTTCACCAGATTGCCCCCCCCCACCTTCATGAAGCGACCCCACAGGGTCAAAATGCTTTTTTGCTATTAAGCACAGACAACCGCTCAATCCTTCACGTCAGATTCGGTATCACAAACAGTGGTGGTATCTCCCTTCAGAACTTACAGGTATCAGCTCTCCTGATATCCGGATGGTTTTCATATGATCTATTTGTACCTCAGCTTCCTCATCGATGTTTATAAAACAAGAAGAAGAATCCTTCCATCGTGTGATATTGTTTCATTTATTGATATAACAGAATACTATAAATGCTCACTCAAATGTGTTATGAGAAAAAAATGCTCACAGATCCTCATAGGGACTCCTGGGTGTACTCCTATGGATGTATCAAGTGATATCACCACATCTCCATCTCTCATCCAACTAATTGCATCACTAATCACGTGACTTCATCAGGAACCATCCACTATTTATATAGCAGTATAGTCCCAAGTTTAGGGACTAGAGCACGAGACCATATATATATATATATATATATATATATATATATATATATATATATATATATATATATATATATATATATATTAGCAGAGTCCCTAGTGAATAAAATGGTGGTTGTTGCAATTTTTTGTCACATGCGCCACAAGTTTTTCAAACTGATTTTTTTTGGGGGGGGGGGAAAAATACACTTTAATGAATTTTAATGCAAGAAACCACAATATACAGTATAACCATTTCTTTAAATATAAAAGATGATATGACACTGAGTAAACAGACACCTAACATGTCATGCTTTAAAATTGCACACGCCCATGGAATGGCGCCAAACTGCATTAAAAATCTTCACAGGTGACGCTTTACAAATTTTTACAGGTTACCAGTTTAGAGTTACAGAATTATTGCTTTTGCTATAACGTTCACGGCAATACCTCACATGTGTGATGCGAACACCGTTTACATATGTGGGTGCCACCTATGAATGTGTTCACCGCTGTGCAAGGACAGGGGGGAACGGGGCACTTACATTTTTTTTTTAATTATATATTTTATTACTTTTTTATTTTTACACTGTCCTTTTACATTTTTTCCATCACTTTTATTGCTAATCACATGAAATGAAAAGATCCCTTGTGATAACAATGGAGCTCGACGGGTCCTCTTTATTGAGAAATCTGGGGTCTATAAGAACTCTACCAGATCTGTCTTCTACCCATAAAAAGCTTCGGATCAACAAAAAATTAAAAAAACTGCTCCCCCCTAAATAACAAAACAAATGGTATTGTTTACATCTGCCAAAAACAAGAAGTGACATCATGACATCTCTTCTGGTCTCCTAGGTCATAGAGGTGATCAGAGATGATCTGCTTTCTCTTCACCTCTGTGGCCAGCTGTGTGATCTGTTGGATTGAACCCCGGGCTTCCAAGTAAGACAGGTAAATCAGAATATAGTGATCCTGCTAATATGAAATTTAGAAAAAGAGGTCCACTTTAACTGCTTGCCTACAGGGCACTTATACCCCCCTTCCTGCCCAGGCCAATTTCCAGCTCTCAGCGCTGTCACACTTTGAATGACAATTGCACGGTCATGCAACTCTGTACCCATATGAAATTTTTATCATTGTTTTTGTGACAGAGCTTTATTTTGGTGGCATTTAACCATTTGCCGCCCGCCCTATGGCCGAATGGCTGCCGGCAAATGTCATCAGCATTTCGGGTGGACGCCATATGGCGTCCTCCCGCACATGCGCAGATTGCGCTCCTGCAGAGCCGTGCAGCAGCGCGATCTGTCACCGGCCGTGTACCTTGGACACGGCCGATGACTGGTCTGAGCATTGGACCCGTTGCCGGTACCATGTGACCTGTTGTGACCAATCACAGCAGGTCACATGACAGCTGTATACAATGGATGGCTTCATTCATGCCATCCATTGTATACTAGTGTCTAGCTGTGAATGGTCACAGCTAATCACATGCATGTGTCATGTGATTAGCTGTGGCCAAATCACAGCTAAGCATAAAAAAAAAAAAACCCTGAATGAATTGATGTCATTCAGGTAAATGTTTGCTTATAGCAAAGTAATTCTTTGCTATAAGCAAATTGTGTAAAAAAAAAAAAAAAAAATACTGATCACTTCCCCAAAGTAGTACAATGTTACTATGGTAACATTGTACTACTTTGGTCATAGTGAAATATGAAAAAAACTCTTTAAAAAAAAGAAAAAAATTTAATAAAAAAAAAAAAAAAAATATATTTTTTTTTTTTCATACTGTCACCAGTCAGTGTCCCTGATCACCGCCATGCCAGTTATATGATAATGCTGTACTGCACTGGTGACAATATATAAAAAAAAAAAATAGTGAGCCTAATTTTTTTAATTTCTTCATTTTCCGAAAAATTATGACAAAAAAAATACAACTTCAAAAAACTCGCCATGCCTCTTATGAAGTACGTTGGACTGTCTGCTTTGCAAAAAGGGGTCATTTGGGGGATATCTGTACTTTTCTGACATTCTTGGACCTCAAGAAATTAGATTGGCCCTCAGTACTTCAGGATTGATCAATATTCAGATCTATACCATAGCTTGTGAACTCTATAACTTTCCTACAAACTAAAAAACACATCCTAATTTGGGTTATTTTCACCAAAGACATGTAGTAGAATACATCTTGGCCTAAATTTATGAAGAACAATTATTTATTTGCAAACTTTTATAACAGAAACAAAGAAAAACGTGTTTTTCTTTCAAAATTTTTGGTCTTTTTTTGTTAATTTAGCAAAAAAATAAAAACCCCAGTGGTGATTAAATACCGCCAAAAGAAAGCTCTAGTTGTGTGAAGAAAATTATAAAATTTAGTTTGAGTACAATGTTGTATGACCGCGCAATTGTCATTCAAAGTGTGAGAGCGCTGAAACCTGAAAACTGGCCTGGGCAGGAAGGTATTGAATTGGTTAATCACCTCTGGGTTTTTTATTTTTTCTTAAACAAACCAAAAACTGCTGAAAATTTTGAAAAAAAATGTTTTTTCTTAGTTTTTGTTCTTAAATTTTGTAAATAAGTGATTTTTCTCCTTCACTGATGTGCGCTAATGAGGCTGCAGTGATGGGCACTGATAGGTGGCACTGATGAGGAGGCACTGGTATGTGGCACTGATGGGCATTGACAAGCATCACTGATGGGCACTGAAAGGCAGCACTGATATATGGTACTGATAGGCAGCACTGTTAGGTGGCACTGACGGGCACTGATAGATGGCACTGATAGGCGGCACTGACTGGCAGCACTGATAGGTGGCACTGATTGGCATGGATAGGTGGCACTGACTGGCACTGATGGGTGACACTGAAAGGCAGCTCAGATGGGCACTGATATGTGGCATTGATGTGGCACTGGCACGTGGCACTGTTCAGCACTGGCAGCTGGCACTGATGGACACTGACAGGTGACACTTCTGGGGCCACACTGATCATCAGGGCACACTGATCATCAGTGCCCTGATGATCAGTGTACATGTCCCCTCCGCGGGATGCCGATTCCCGGCTCTCCTCTCAAGCTGTCAGCGTGACAGCTCGTGAGGAGAGAAATGCTGATAACCGGCATTTCCCTGTTTACATGTGATCAGCTGTGAATGGACACAGCTGATCACATGACCGAGCCGACATCTTCAGCTCTTTCTGTGGATCGGTGATCCGCTGTGTCCGAGGGAGCCGCGCATGCGCAGTGAGAATGGGAGGACGTCATATGACATCCTCCCAGAACGAGAGAACCACCTTGCTCCCGTCATTGGACTATATGGCGGGCGGGAGGTGGTTAAGGACTCTTATCTGTTCGCAAAAACAAATTGATACCAAACTCTTCAGTTAGTATTGAAGACAGTAGTTACCTTTTTTTCTTTCCGCTTGGCTGCCTCTTTCCCCCCAAGCTGCCACATTTGGCACTTTTTAGAGGAGCTGGTATCTATTTTTGAGAGTTCGGTCCCCTGCTAAGCCCCGCAGCCTTCTGTTACACTTCACAGGTCCCAGAAAAACTGTGGCCCATTCACAAAGCACAGTGCACTTTGCACTTTTGAAGCCGCAAGCCTTCACTTCCGGATTGAAGAATCAGTTCAGGTGAGGACATCCCTGGACCTCTGGACAGGTAAGTGCCCTTATATTAAAAGTCAGCAGCTATAGGATGTTTAGCTGCTGACTTTTCATTTTTTGGGGGGAGCCTGGAGCTCCGCTTTAAATTCTTCACATTGCATCACATTTACCATACCTCCTAAAAAAACTAAAATTTATTCACATGCCAGTTAGCCTATTATCCTGCTGCTGGCCAATTTTACACTGCTGTATATTCTGTGGTATCTTTATTTTTATCTTTATATTTAGAAATTCTTTATGTCACAAATAAAAATTGTCATCATGACTTCACAGAACTAGTATATAACTATATATAAGCCATTTGCAAAACAGTAACTTATTTAGAAACTACCTAAACACACTTAGGTGTTACACAATCAACTGCCTAAACAAATAAAAATATTTTTTTCTTCCCTTTTCCATAACAAATAGGGTGATCTTGCGACAAGCATTGGATTGTTTTAGAAAAATCAGAAAATATTTATGAACACTGATCATGCAATTGCCACAACAACGTAAGTTTTATAGAAGATGTCATGTTTCACATGACTTTCATATGCCTTTAAGTGTTTTATATTTTAAGTGTGTTATATTTTGTCTCTGCTCCTCCCTTTCCTTTGGTTTAGTTAATGCTGTATAGATAGCCCACCCTTTTTCCCAGAAATGCATTGCAGCTCTAGCCTCATGTCATGAAGCAGGACACATTATGATCTTTTGACCTATCACATGTTCATTGTTGTAAGACTCTCACAGTTTATGGAATAAACTTCACAAGATCTACAAGATATCATCTTGATTGAGTCACTGACTGTGGTATCCAACTGAGATTAGAGTTATTGTTATCTCATCACAACTGTAAGTTACAGAGATCACACTTTCAATGCTTAGATTGGAGAGACAGAACAGAAGACCTTCTGCTCAGCATCCACATTGTATTGTAAGCATATCCAGTGCTCAAAGGATGATGGAATGTAATTTAAATAATGAACTAAATAGACTGGTCCACATAAAAATACATAATATAACCTATGTCAATACTAGTAATGTAACCAGACCTGTCAGCATACAAAGAAATGCTTGTATTCAGTGATCAGTTCATATGGATTGTAGCTGAATGAAAATATATGTGAACGATGGGGAAGCTAAGGCACATGTACAGTCACCTGCAGCTCCTTGCCATGGATGTGGGGAATTCCTCAGGAGACATGCAAAAGAAACACAGCAGGGTGCCATGTCAGTGTGAGTACAAACAAAGAATTTTATTCCTTTTGAGGAGGTTGGCTGGGGTATGGGCATGGAGGATTAGCCGAGTGGCATTGTCATGGAGCACCAGCATCATTGTCGTGGCTTTGGTCAGTAGGCGGCAGGTGATGCCGTGCTGAGCTGGGTTTTTCCCCGCACTTGGTGAGGGCTGACCCGGTCTGCTGCACTGTAGCGTCTGACCACCCCATTCTGCGGTGGCCGACATTGGCCGGGTGTCGCTCATGGCGTGTCTGTGCCCCTCTTGGTGGCAGGTGCACGCCACTATGCGCATATGCGGCCATTCCTGGCCAAGCGTGGTGATGTCACGCACCCCAGCATGGCGCTGCTGGCGTCCCATAAGAGGGAGCCGCCTCTTGGTCCTGCAGCTACAGCAGGACAGAGAACATTTGGCTCCTTCATTAGAAACCCTTATACCATCTCAGGAGGTCTGTGTGAGCAGGGAAGCTTGGTCCAGAAGTCAGCCTTGTGTGGGCCCCACAACAGGCCATGTATTAGGTGGGACTGGCCGAGTACCTGAAATCTACTTCAGGTATGCAAGATACATACTATTAGAGATGAGCGAAGTATTCAAAAATTCGATTCGGCTGATTCGGCGAATTCGAGGAATAAATTTGATTCGATGCGAATATATTCGCTGCGAATTTAACTTATAAAAAGGGTGTTTCTAGGCTTCAGAGAGCCTTTATATTAGTGCAGAACACTGTACCCTTAATTTAAATGCCCTTGGAGTCTGCTGGGGAAGAGAAATAATACTGTCAGTCAGTATGACATGCAGATGAGTGCCGTCGATCTTAGAATCACCGCACACTTCACTCATTTGGGCAGTCACGGGGCCAAAACCAGAGTGTGGAGCCACAGTGTGGCGGTGGAGGCAGCAGCAATGGGAGGCCATACAGCACCCTATGACAAAATGGAACCCACCAGCAGTGTGAGGAGACCTGAAAGTGGCACATGGCAGAGTGTGGCGATGGAGACAGCAGCAATGGGAGGCCGTACAGGGACCCATGAGACACTCTGGACCTGGCAGCAGCATGAGGAGGCGGTACGGGGGCCCATGGCAGATTACGGGCCTGGCAGCAGCAATGGGAGGCCCGTAATCTGCCAGCACCCTATAACAAAATGGAACCCACCAGCAGTGTGAGGAGACCTGAAAGTGGCACATGGCACAGTGTGGCGATGGAGACAGCAGCAATGGGAGGCCGTACAGGGACCCATGAGAGACTCTGGACCTGGCAGCAGCATGAGGAGGCGGTACGGGGGCCCATGGCAGATTACGGGCCTGGCAGCAGCAATGGGAGGCCCGTAATCTGCCAGCACCCTATGACAAAATGGAACCCACCAGCAGTGTGAGGAGACCTGAAAGTGGCACATGGCAGAGTGTGGCGATGGAGACAGCAGCAATGGGAGGCCGTACAGGGACCCATGACACACTCTGGACCTGGCAGCAGCATGAGGAGGCGGTACAGGGGCCCATGACAGATTACGGGCCTAGCAGCAGCATGAGGAGTCGGTACGGGGGCCCATGGCAGATTACGGGCCTGGCAGCAGCAATGGGAGGCCCGTAATCTGCCAGCACCCTATGACAAAATGGAACCCACCAGCAGTGTGAGGAGACCTGAAAGTGGCACATGGCAGAGTGTGGCGATGGAGACAGCAGCAATGGGAGGCCGTACAGGGACCCATGAGACACTCTGGACCTGGCAGCAGCATGAGGAGGTGGTACGGGGGCCCATGGCAGATTACGGGCCTGGCAGCAGCAATGGGAGGCCCGTAATCTGCCAGCACCCTATGACAAAATGGAACCCACCAGCAGTGTGAGGAGACCTGAAAGTGGCACATGGCAGAGTGTGGCGATGGAGACAGCAGCAATGGGAGGCCGTACAGGGACCCATGACACACTCTGGACCTGGCAGCAGCAAGAGGAGGCGGTACAGGGGCCCATGGCAGAGTGGCGAAGCGTAAGCAGCTTAAATTGAAGGCCATACAGAGGCCTATGTTAAAAATAATAACATGTTTGGGGCATGATTCATGGCGGATTTAGTCAGTTGTGTCAGGAACTGGTGGTTTGAAATCCAGACTAATCCACGCCTGATTCATTTTCACAAACGTGAGTCTCTCTACACTTTGGGTGGACAGTCGTGTCCTCCGCGGAGTTACAATACCTCCTGCCGCACTAAACACGCGCTCCGATGCCACGCTACTGGCTGGGCATGACAGCCTTTCAAGGGCAAATTCAGCTAGTTGGGGCCAAAGGTCAAGTTTCGTTGCCCAGTAGTCAAGGGGATTGTCTACCTCGGTTGGCAGGGTGCTGTCCAAGTAGGCCCGAGCCTGTTGTTTGAGGTCCTGCTCCAGGTCCACCTGATGCTGCTGCTGCTGCGGCTGGTTAGTAGTTTCCTCACTGCGCTGGTGAAGAAAGCTACTCATCATCGACTGCAGACTGAGGCAGCTGCTGCTGGTGGAGCTGCCACTGCTCCTACCACCCCACCCCTCCCCTGCTGCCATGGCAGCGGAACGCGAGGGCACAGGGCCCACAGTGTCTGAGGATATACGTTGGCGCAGAAAGGCAGAGACCAACTGACTACATAGGTGGTTTTTATAGTACGTTACTTTGGCCTCCCTCTCAGCAGGTGTGAAAAAGGCCACCATTTTTGAACGGTAGCGAGGGTCCAACAAGGTGGACAGCCAAAAGTCATCCCTCTGTCTGATGGTTATTATTCGGCTGTCGCTACGCAAGCAACCGAGCATGCTATGGGCCATTTGTGCCAAGGAATGTGAGGGACTCCCTGCCTCCATCTCCACAGCATACTGCCACGGTGCGTCTGGGTCCTCTGTCTCCTCCTCCTCCTCTACCAGATGCTCCTGCTCCTCCACTCCTGTCCGCTGAGTGGAAAAACCACCCATTTCACTCAATAATTCCTGAGCACCAATGTCCTCCTCTACCTCCTCCTCTTCTTCCTGTCCTGCCCCCACAGGGGTCATGTGGCGTTGAGATCTGTGCGCCACGTCTACCGCACCCTGACCAGCCATTGTTAACAGCATTTGTTCCAGGACGTGCAACAGAGGAATGACGTCATTCATCCCATAGTCCTGCCGACTCACGAATAGCGTGGCCTCCTCAAAGGGCCTGAGCAAGCGGCAGGTGTCACGCATGAGCTGCCAATGGCTGACATCTAAGTTACACAGAGGAGTACCTTTATCCGCTTGTAACATCAGGAAATCGGTGATGGCCTTTCGCTGTTTGTAAAGGCGGTCTAACATATGTGTAGGGTTGAATTCCACATGTTGCAACGTCACAGCATGAGGAGTCGGTTACGGGGGCC